AGAAGAACTCTACAGCAACTATGCATCTCACATTCATTCCATAATTCATATTAGAGACTTGGAGCTTAAGCATGAGAAATTAGTTTATTTATTACTTCTAGCATCAAATATCTTGAGATACTATCAATTTTGCAAACACTGTCAGCCTTATCAGGCCAAGCAAAATATACCATATGCAGTAAGCCCCAAAAATGTAACAGGGGAAGCAAAGGAAAAACTATAGAGAAAGAGTTTTAGTATCATACTAAAGTGCACCACTTGCCACCTCCACAACAAACTTCTGCATTGCAACAGCAACCAGCCTTGTTCTGCAAAAGTATGCAAGAAATAAAGTTGAAATTTACCTTTATACATAACATAACAAAAAAGGCAACCTACAACATGTCACATTAAGGAAAAATTTTAAAGTTGGGAACATGATATTAGAGATTCTAAATCAGATATTAGATTTACATGAGATATGTACTGGAGCTCCTTGAATCGAGCTGTTTTCACAATATCAATGTAGGGTGGGAGCTCAATCTGTTTACAAGGACAACAGAAGAGAAGGCCACATATTACCAAAGCACCACAATCCAACATGTGCAATAGACATTATATAATTGTATACTAATAATAGTTATGAAAACATAGCACAGAATGCTCCTATGTTGTAAGTTGTAAACCTTTTGCTACCTCCCCCAACACACACAAAACCACAGCTTCTTCCCCGATATTAAACTTTTTTTCAAGATTAAAATAAAAAAATTTGTTAACTAAAGCCACGTCTATGTAGCGGGCAATGGCCTAAATCCCTAGTTTAGAACATCTGACGTCTTCACTAGCAAAAAATTTACAGAAGCGCAACAATTTCCTGGAGATGTTCATGATGCGGTAAGCCAGAGGAACAAGAACTAATCAAGTCAGATTTATTGGCAACATGGTGTTGAACGACACCAGACAAAGCTAATCAAAATGAATCAAGAGCACATAAATCAGATAAAGTTTCTATCTTCAAAGAATAGAGAATAAAAGAAACAAACTCGCTTTCACTATCCCTTATTCTCCACCATTTTCCTAGAATCCAAACAAAACTAAGGCAATCAAATGCAGAAGCAACACATACCTTCAATTTCTTCAAAGGAAAAGCAAGCCACAAAAAGAAGTCCACAGCCAACAAATTTTTAAGCTACACTAATCTGTAATCAACCAAAAATACTGGGTCTAAGCGCAAAACTACTGGGTTTTAAATACAAAAGATTGGGCAACTACCCATGACTAGAAAGAAGGTGAAGCTCCAATACATATCCAATGATTCTGCAAGGAAAGCCTCCTTCAAGAAAAGAAAGAAGGGTCTCATGAAGAAGGCGAGTGAACTCACCACCCTATGCGGGATTGATGCCTGTGCGATTGTATATAGCCCATATGACTCTCAACCGAAGATCTGGACTTCCCTCGCTAGAGTCCAACGTGTCTTGTCCCCCGGTTCAAGAAGCTGCCGGAGATGGAGCAGAGCAAAAAGATGGTGTGGAGAAACCACTAGTTTCAAGAAGCTGCCGGATACATAAAATCAGGGTTTGAAATTAAAATCCATGGGTTTAAGGTTGAATTTGAAATACATTCATTTTAAGTCTTTTAAATACTTAGGTAAAATATATGTATTTTATTTAAATTTAATTACATTTTAAGTAAAAATAAACATTGATTTTGAATTTAAAGTGTTCAAATTCAAATACACAAATTCATATTCCCAAACATAGCATCAACAAATTTGTGTGCACAAGGGAATTCAAACCCCACTCCTTCAACCCACATTTTGAACTTTTTACTGTTGAGCCACCAATACTATTATTGTCACTTTTACACAAAATTTTATTTATTTAAATAAAATAAAATAAAATAAAGCATGCATTTATGTAATTTTTAACAATTAATTATTTTTTGAGTCAATATCATGTTAATGATTTTAATTGCATATTTAATAAATAAAATTTTTTAATATGTGCTCTTAGGATGTAGGTAAAATTTTATTAAATATAATATTTTTAATTAATTTTATATAAATTCTTATATCAAATTTAATAAAAAAATGTAAAATTGAAATATAATATAATATTGATAATCGAAATTTGTAAAAATATAAGAATTTGATATAAAAATTTGTGTAAAATTAATTAAAAATTTTACATTTAATAAAGTTCAACCTATACTCTTA